CTTACCAACAACGGATATTCTAGTCAATCCCTGTAGAATGATAACAGACAACAGTCATATAATTTTGGAGACATTTTTTTTTTTTTTTTTTTTTTAATGACAGGGTCTCATTTTATAACTCTGGCTGGCCTTGAACTCACTTTGTCATCTGGGCTGGCCTTGGTCTTCCCACCTCAGCTTCCTGAGTGCTGTAATTACAGGTGTGAACCACCTCACCCAGCAACCTGGAACTTTTCTATATGCAGAGTGAGAATGTTTTCAATAAATGTTGGAAGAAAACCTTCTAGTATCTTCTGAGTACTATACAGAAATTGAAATGAGCTTGCTAGGCATGATTACAGCCACCATGTGAGGTACAAAACTTCCACTAGTTCATGAGACTAGCAGGGTGCAAATTCACTAACATCAAGTTTTATATTATGCATCTGTATTGCAAAATTCCTGAACCACACATTACAACTGTGTTAACAATTACAGAAAACAGGAAAACTGGACTGGGGATATAGCTCAGTGCAGAATGTCTGCAGTGCATGCAAGTCCCTGGGTTAATCCACTCACCACCACCACCAAAGAAACCAATAAAATGTGCCAGTTCTTGTTCCCCCATCATTTCTGCTTGTATAAGATCTATATAAAATTTAATGTGATCTCCACTGGCCTTCTACTTCCTAAACTCTTCTGAAAATTACTACTAGTCTATTAGCCAGACTATCTCTGAATATTCTGTCCTAATTTTTATAGAAAATGACACAATAAACAAGTATCATTCCACAGGTTTAAAAACAGATCTGGAGCACAGCTTCCTGGCTTGCTACACCACACTGGCAGACCATTTACTCTCTCAGAACCCTACCTTTCACTCACATTTGACCTACAAAAAAAGAACACGTCACATCACTTCACAAAACTGTGATAAGACTCAATAAGGTAATTTATGTATAAAGTAACAGCTGCAAAATAAATGAGTATCGAAGAGTTGTTCTGTAACTGGCTCAGAGTAAGAGTTATGGAATGCTGGTTGAACAATCAGGACTTTCTTATTCCTTGACTCCCAAGAAATGAAAGAGTTTAACAAAACCAATAATAAAAATCAACGAATTCTAAATAAAACAAAGTTAGGTGATAAAGAACAAGGGGCACAGGAGGTCAGGGCAGGATTGCCATTGGTTCAAGCCCATCCTGTGCTACACAGCGAGTTCAAGGCTGGCCTGAACTACATAATGAGACCCTGCCTCAAAAGAAACAAGTGTGTGAGTATGTGTCTGTGTAAACTTAGAAAAGAAACCTCAGCTATGGATAGGTGCAACAGCTATAACAATATAAGACACACACTGTTAAACATCCTAGCAACTTAAATCTATAGGAAGAGAAAACTTATGGGTGTCTTTTCACACCAGCATTCAGCAATAAGCTATAATGTTAATTATACTTGAAATGTATTTTTACAATCTTTGCCAAGAAAAGTTGTACCAAATTATTTTTTCCAGGCAGGTGCTTAGGCTGCTGAGCTATCGCCTGGCCCCTACCAAATATATTTTTGGATCAAGCAATAAAACTTAAGATGCTTGTCTCTTGCCCAAATGGTAAGTGTGTCTGGATGACAGGGAAATAAAACTTCAAAACATTTACACCCACATTTTTTTTGCTCTAAAATCAAATTAGTTTCATACAGAAGAGATATATGTGAGTTAATTATTCATACAATGAACAAGACAATTGTTTTAACAATTCTAGCCATGTTCTACCTTGGTATTTCTGAGATTACATTTCTGGACTTCAAGTCTACTGTTCAAATTCTATTATGGAAAGACTGCGAATTGTTTTGATCACAGTAGAATTGCCATTTCCTTGAAATAGCAAATTGCAAGAACTGGTTTCGAAAACTTGTAGTTTCAGGGCAGTTAAGTATCCTGAGTATGGTCTCAAATAACAGTCTGGTTTATGTTACCATGGCAGCACTTCCTTTCCCTGACTCTGCTCATGAACTATCAGTAACAAAAGACAAAACCATGCATTTGCTAGGCTAGGCAAAAAGGATCTTATTTTTAACTAATTCACTTTAAAAAATGCCTCTGTGTTACTGTGCTTAGATGACAGAACACAAGTAATAGTTTTACAAGTACTGTTTTTACACTACTTAAATTCACCTGTAAGAACTCTTTTGTGCAATGGAAACAGGAAATGTGTGTTCTTTTACTAATTTTAAAACTAAACTGTACTTAATTTCATAAGAAACCACTGATAGCTTTCAAGATAGGAATATATTAAGGGTCAAACTTTAAAAAGATTTATCTTAATGAAAGTTTTAGATTATAAATTCAGAGATATGAATATGCCTTGCATATTTTAAGAGTTGTCTTTCCTGTCCCACCTTTTCAGTAGCTTTTTCTGTTTTGGAGACAATATCTCCATGGAGTCCAGGTTGGCCTCCAATATCCTATGACCCTTCTGCCTTAGCCTCCCGAGTGCTCAAAGTACAGGTGTGTGCCACTCCACATCTGGCCTTCAATGGCTTTTAGAACCATAAATTTAAAAAGTAACTGATTAACACTGTACTAAAGAAAGCAAAATTTAATTCCATGTGTCTGTATTAGAATCGCTATACCATTTGAAGATATACTCATAAGTGAAATAAACCAGACACACCTGTGTAAATATCGTAGTTTCCCTAGTATAAGAACTCAAAAGAAGAAATGCAAATAAAAAGGCATAATACAATTTAAAGGAAAGCAAGAACTTGAGGACTAGACAATGAAGAGACAGCAAGGAGAGGAGCTAGGAAACATGACAGAGGCAAGCCATACAGTTATATGTACAAGATGGGAAAGGCAATGCTCCTGAGAATCTTCAGAAGATTTTCGAATCTAGCAGTTAACTGGAAGGATTCTCACCCTAACTAGCTATATATACTGACACCTGTGAACTAAGCAACTGCTCTGAAGGTAGCAATTTGTAATAGTAGGTTCATGCTTGGAGTGCCTGTCATTCTGGTCTTCTGAATACGTGCTGTTTGTCATGATATGCCACTTGCTGCCGTGCTGACTCTCGGGTAGATGATTGTTTAAAAAGGAAGGGGGTAGTGAATGAAGGCAGGAGACAGGAAAAGCAGTGTTGCAGGACTGTCCTGCTACAAGGTTGTATATGGTTAGATTTCTGGACTTATATGTAAACATATATAACTCTTTATTCCTATTTTTTAAATATATTTTAATGTTTTAAATTTTTTGGTCATATTCTGTAGGGACTTAAAAGTTTAACATATCAATACTTGATGAAAAATACCTGTTCCATGTTATGCCTAAGATGTTTGATATTCAGACAGATAGTGAAGTTAAGCTCAATAGTTTAGGTTATATGACAGTAACAATAAGCTTCTCTTCTAGAGGGTTAACAACCTAAGTATGCAGACCAAAAATTAGAGAAAAAGGAGGGCTGCAAGGAAAGCCAACATTTTAGCCCTAGCCTTCCAAGGTCAATTAAGACTCAGGATATAAGAGAACCTGTCCTGTAACATCATGTAACTCAGTTGTGTCCCAAATTTTCTGACCAAGGAGATTATGGGGCCAAAGAGGAAAGTGGTCGATGATGAAGAGTGTGCCTAAGGAGAGTCACACGGAGAGAAAACATTCTCTCAGGCTTTCACAGACAGCAAAATGGCCAAGCAATGGCCATGACTCATCCACATGGCTGACACTGACAAAGGTTCAACAATCTGAGGTCCAGGGTCTCAGGATAAATCCTGAGGGGATTTCACTGACCTTATCAGATACAAAAGCTACAATTCTTGTTACATAGGTCTTGCTTTATCTTGGTCTTAACCATCCAGCAGAAAAGTATAAAAACAAAGTACAAGAAGTAAAGCCATGGTGCTATGTTGAGCTGTAGGGGACTCAGGTCAACAACTTCTGACATTGCCAGTCAAGCGGAAGACCCAATACTATTATGGACCACTGGACTTTTTTAGAATATTTTGCTGAGTTAACACACCTATAATATTCAAATAATGGAACTAAATAAGAAAAGGGGATACAGATGAAGGTCCATTTTGTATCTGTGTATTCAAAGTGGTTAGGATAGATATATAGTTATACTCTCTTAATGTATAGAGGGATTTGTTCTAATGGTGTCTGTAAATAGATACGGATATCAAGTCCGCATCTTGTACAACAACCACTAGGAAGGCAGTATGCAATGTGTTAATTATTGGAACTGTCCTACCAATTTGATTTCAAACTGTCTCATTACTATTTGCTTATCAATAAAATTATGGAAAAATAAAATAAAATCTCAGTTGTAATGTTTTAGTTGGTCTATAAAAATTAAGAAAAATAGATATAAAATGTAGGCGTGTTTAAAGCATAAAACCAAAACTACACCAAACCAAAACACTACTATGTCTACCTTTTGTAAATCAGCTTGTCTTACTGGTATGAATACTACTTTATGTAAGTTTGAACTAACCTCTGCTATCTTAAGTTCTTTGGATATTATCATCTCTGGGTAGCAGCTAAATCCTTAGAAAACTGCTGTCAAGGTTGTCAAATTCAATGTCAACATTTAATAAAAATGTATCTTACTGGCCTTCCACAGACTGAAAGAAAAATTCTCTTTGAGGCAGTAACTCAAACAATGGTCTTACTGGTTAAGAAGAATCCATATGCATTTCCCACTGCACTTGAATGTATTTCTTTTTGTCTAAATCTCAGACATTTGGGGACGGGGAGATAGCTCAGTAGAATAAGCGCTTCCCAGGCAAGCACAAGGGCCTGAGTTCAATCCCTGGTTTAAAAAAAAAAAAAAAAAAAAATCTCAGACATTTAAGCAAA